GGGGGGAAGTGGGGAGTCAACAAGGTCAGGATTAAGGGAATGACAAGAGATCTAAAATTGCTGGCGAGTAGGGCGCACGATGCCTGGTGCGGTTTGATCGAGTGCAATGTATCCAAGAGGAATTACTGAGAGCCAAGAGGATGGTAAGCATGGTAATGGGAGAGGAGGAAGGGAAGGAAAGAGAGAAAAGAAATAGGAGGTAAGAGCTATTTATAGAGGTATCGCTATAGGCATTATGTATGTCAATGTATCAATTTATAATGAAAGGGGTAGAGTAAGGTGACCAGATGTTAACATTGGTAAAGCGGGACACCATTGATACAACTCATATCCTGGCGAAATAGCCGCATGGCAGCCGAAAACCATATACCCTAGCTTGTTGTGCATTCTTTCCAAAAATCGGGACTTTTTAAAAATGCCGCAGGATGCAAGAAAAATTGTTAAAAATTGGGACTGTCCCGCCAAAAGCGGGATGTCTGGTCACCTTATCTAAGAGGGTCCTTCTCGGGTGGGTCGGGGAGGCAGACAGCGGGGTCTGGGCCAGTCCCTCCCCCAGGGCCCTGCCTCAGACCTGCTCTCCATTAGGGCTGGGGCTGCCTTGGGCAATAGCCCCTGCTGTCCAGTACTGAAGAGCAGCGATGTTACGCTGAGGACTGAGCCCAGCCATGGCGTCCCCATGGCATCCCCGTGGCCCGTGAACGCTGGCCGTGGAATAAGGAGGACCGAGGACCGAGGAAGACCGCGTGCGTTTGGACTGTGCAGCTGAGAAGGTCCTGAAGGGGCTGTGGGCTGCTCACGGGCACACCGGTCTGCTTTGGGATAAGACAGGCCACAGTGCTCCTTAGAGGCCAGGACAGAGCCTTCGCCTTACAACTGAGGGCACGTTATCAGGAGAGACCGGTCTCTGCAGAAGGACATCTGCCTGCTACCGTCGAGGGGCAGTGAGAGAGGGGAAAGCCCGCAAGGGGATGGACGGCCACGGCGGCTGCCACCATGGGCTCGGGCCCAGGCGCAGGCCCATGCAGTGTTTCCTTCTGTTGGGCACGGGGTGGCTTGACTCCGTGGTACCTAACACCAACACCACCGTTGTCCAGGGGAGACAGGCTGGGGAGAGTGGAGCGGGGAGCCTTGTCTGTGTCTTCCAGGGAGGACAAGACCGGCGAGGACCCACGCCTCTGCTTGGGTCCTTCCCAGACAGCACCTCCCCCTCCCCCTGGGAAACGAGGGCACAGAGACGCAGTGGGCAACCTGCCTGAGTCACAGAGCTGGGACTCCAAGCCCAAATCCTGCCAGAGAAGGGCCCCTGGCTTCCTGTCCCAGTGTCCCGACTGCCGCCTCCCGGTGACAGCATACGCGGGCAGAGAGGGCCACGAGGCCCTCAGCGGCACAGCCAACCAATTCCCAGGCACGTTCTCAGAACAGAGAGGGTTTTTATTGTGCCTAACCGGGGCAAGCAGCCGTGCACAGGTGAGGGGAGAGGGGTGGCCGCGCTGCCCCTCCTAGCGGGTTCTGCTGGCGGGGTCCCGAGGGTGGGGAGCGGGGAGGTCACTGTGGCGGCGTATGATGGAGTTGATCCAGTTTGCGAACTGTGCCACCGGGGCAAAGGCGTCTGGGTAGAGTCCGGAGCCGCAGCCTCCCCGGATGAAGGAGTCGATACCCTGGATCACCCCATTGCAGACCAGGGGGCCCCCGGAGTCCCCCTGAAAAGGCAGGCAAGGTCAGGAGGCTGGGCTGCAAGGCCTGCCGCCCACCCGCCACCCTGGAGGGCGTGGGAAGTCCTCCCTGGAGTCTGACTGCAGGCCTTGCTGCTGTCCCCGGGGCCAGGACGGCAGGGTACGTACGAAGCAGATGCCAGCCCGCCGGCGACGCACAAAGGTGCACACGTTGGAGCGCCGGCACTGAGAGGTCACCACCGTCACGTTGAGCTCCTGCAGGACGCTGGGGATCCGCTGGTTTGTGCCCAGTTGGCCCCAGCCCATGGCCAGGCACCGTGTTCCATTGCCCACGCCTTGGCCCTGCGCAGGCAGCTGGGCCACCTGCACGTTGGCATTGAGGGTAGCTGACCCATTGAGCTGTGGAGGGCAGGGCAGAGTAGCAGCAGGTCACCTGGCGCGGTGGGCAGTGGCCCCCCTCGCTTTGTGCACTAGTTTGCCTACAGAGGCCAGACGGGGTCGCACTGGCCCCATGGCTTTCTGAGGCTGGCTTTCTCTGTGGGAGCAGAGAACCTCCTCTTTCTCCCAGGGCCCAGCTGTGGTTTCAAACTGCTCGCCTTTTGGCTACCTGCCTGAGGCACGACCACGAGGCCACCGGAGCTGGCAAGTGGACGGCCCTCGGCTACTGGTGGCAGCTCACCGTAGGACCCCAGGTGGCCAGCTCTTATCTCCCCCCACGTGGCAGAGGTGGAGTCCAGGTACAAGCTGGAGACACCTGCCTGGACAGCGCCCAGGTCTGGGGCTCGGGACCTGACAAGTGGCCCCAGGTGCCCCTGCCCACCCGCCATGCACCTGGAGAATCACGATGTCGTTCTGCAGGCTGGTGGGGTCGAAGCCGTTTTCGAAGACCCTCTGGATGGCAAACGTCTGCCACGTGGGTTCACGCTGCCTCAGGTTGTGGACCCCCAGCACTGCCTGCACCGTCTGGAAGTCGCTACGGGCAAGGGATGGGGGGCAGGGGGTGATTCAGGGACCCCAGGGCTGAGCCCTGTTCCACTCGGAGCCCTGAAGTAGCCCCCTCCTGTCCGACCCTCTGCTGGGTGCCTAAGGCCAGGGCACTGGTGGGAGCCCTGTAGTGCCCTCCCCCCATGTTCCAGACAGAAACAGGCTTTGGGAAGGAGCATGGCCCTCCGTGGTGACTCACAAGCGGTTCACGCAGTGGGCCGCAGACATGACGAAGTTTGGGGTGATGAGGGTGGCCCCGCAGAAGTGCCCCCCACGCCGCTGCAGCGACACCATGAAGGGCCAGGCATGGGGCTGGGCTGCCCGGCCACCCACGATCTCGGAGGCTAGAGCGGGTCCTGGGGAGACACATGGGAGCCGTGAGCCCCAGCCAAGGGTGCCCCACTCAGCTCCCGCAAGGCCAGACGCTTTCCGCCCATTTCCCAGGGAGGGAAACTGAGGCACAATGTGGGGAAGCCGTTTGCCCAGGACGCCCCACCCAGGCCACAGCGGGAGCCACACTTGTTCCTGGGCCTGAGAGAGGGTGCCTGCTGGCCCAGGGTTCGAATCCTGGCAACCTCAGATGAAGCCCCTCGTCCCAGTTGACACCCACCCCCACCCCCACCGGGTGGAGAATGGGTCCCAAAGACAGACAGACGGGCAAAGGGGCTGCACTCACCGCCCAGCAGCACGGCCAGCAGCAGCAGGAGGAGGGCCAGGGTCATGGTCAGGCAGGGACTCTGGGTCTCTGCCCCCTGCCAGCCTGCCCCTCTTATAGCCCTGACACAGAGGCCGTTTGCCATTGCCCCATGGCAGGGCTGGACACCCCCACTTCCTCTCCCTGCTCCGGGGTGTGGGGGCCAGAAGGGGGGCAGCAGGCAGAGGGCCAGGAGAGAAGACGCGGCACACCCAAGGACGCCCACTTGACAGAGACACAGCGGTCGTCTGGTGAGCAGAAGGACAACCGTGTCCCACATGCACTGCAGAAACCCAGACCAAGCAAACTCGCCGGCCGCCACGTGGGTTCCAGCAGTAGCCCAGAGGACAGGGTCCGGTCAGGTTGCCCGAAACATTCCTCTCTCTGGGAATGCCGTCATTTGGGCATCTTGGTCTAAGGGACCATGGCTAGGTTCAGCTTAGCCTGTGGCCGGCTGTGTACCTGGGGGGGTGGTGCTGGAGCAGAGACCCCAAACCCATCTGTAGACAATGGGACATCCCCTCACAGAAGGGTCACAAGGAAGGGATGAGTCAACCAGGGCGCAGCACAGCACCGATGAAACACACAATATCCCTCTGGTTCCTTGGGCCTTCGTCACCCCCACTATCGTGACCCCAGTCCTGCCTTTCCGTCTGGCTAGACGGGAACATGTACACTGGCACAGATAAGAACTCACCACACAGAGAACCCAGGTCAGAGAAACCCCTCAGAAACAGAAATGGGAGTAGCGATATCAGGAGGGCAGACAGATGCATAACACCCCCTCCCAGGGAGACGCACAGCAGAAATGTGGGTGAAGGGAGACAGAGGTTGGTAAGACATGGAGACAATAATAAATGTCTAACTTGTGAAGGGGTCGCGAGGGTGGGAGGAGGGGGAGGGCGGGAAAGAAGAGGGGCTGATACGGAGGGCTCAGGTAGAAGGTAAAAGGAAATGATGATGGCAACATACGCACACATATACAGCGAACCCTCGTTGATCGCGGTTCATCGGTTCTAGACCCTACCGTGATAAATGAAATTCCGCAAAGTAGGATTCCTTATTTGTAAATCAAATATTTTCGTAGTTAGAGCATAGAGGACATGAAAAAACACCCTTTAGTCACCATGACACTCGTATTACCCAATTTATTAAACAAAAAAGGGAAAATACAGTAAAACATTTTGGACGTTACAATGATCATTTATTATTTATTATATTATTTATGGCATCTACTTTACAGTATGACATATTTCACATACAGTATTATTATACATAGTTCTTACAAATACTGTAATCAATAGCCTATGAAATGACTTAAGGGATGTACTCTACAGGTGGGTCACCGTCTTTTTCCTCTGAAGGAGCGGGTGTAGGCAGTGGGTGCTGTTACGCAAAAACCGCGATAGAGTGAAGCCGCGGAAGTGGAAGCGCGAAGTGGCGAGGGTTCACTGTACTCGAAACAATGGATGCATGGACTGTTGTAAGAGCCCCCAGGAAAACGATTAACAAACAAACAAACAATGATGGTGGCAGGTAACGTGACGCTCCAGGGCTCATCCTGAAACCTCTTTAGATGGACGGCCCCCTGGCCCACGAGCCATCCACCCAGCAACAAAGTGGGAGTGACGGGCTTCGAACCTGTGGCCTCAGGGTCACAGCTGGGTGGTGACTGGGGCTGCCTCCGGCTCCCAGCTTGGCTGCCCGCTCAGGGCCTGGCCTTCAGCCTCAGTTGGTTATTGTCTATGGCAGGGAGCTCACCCCTGCTCGGAGGCCTGTGGACCCCAGGGGCCAGCGGAGGTTCAGGACAGGAGGTTGCCTGGCCCCGTGACCCCCCTGCCCACCGAGTAGCCTGGTGCAGGGGCTGCAGAGAGGGTTTCTGCTGCTGCTGGACGTGGGCTGGGGTCTTGATCCTGCCAAGACCTGGTGCCAAGGAGGAACAACAGGATGGGAACGTGTCTGGACCCCGCTTCCTCTTCCCACCTCCCCCAGCGTGCTCCGGCTCCAACGGCCGCATCCTAGGCTGTTGCAAGAGGCAACGTCCCCTTGGCTCTGGGACAGGGCTTGGGGGAGGGAGCCAACGGACCGTCTCTGGGACAGGCAGGTGGCAGTGGTGTGTGTGGTGTGGGGTTTGGGGAGGGGTCGAGACACTCAGAGCCTGGGTCTGGCCGGAATCATTGTCCCTGGCCCCTCTCACTGTGTGACCACAGGCAACTGACGTCCCAGTGTGGACCTGATGCACAGTAGGTGCTCAGTTAATGCCCGTTCTCCACCCCCTGCTTGGTCAGACACATTAATGGGTCCTGCCTTCCCCTCTTCCTTGGGTGGGGTCCACACCCTGCTGCTCCAGTTTCCACAGGGCACTTAGTATGGGCCTACTGTATCCATCACCCCTTGTCTCTCGGTCAGTCAGGTGAACTGCAGGAGAAGATTAATGTGCCGGGGACTAGTAGAAGGACAGACCGATCTGTCTTGGAAGAAGTATGGCCAGAGTGCTCCTTAGAGACAAGGATGGGGAGACTCGGCCTCTCTTACTTGGACATGTTGTTGGGAGAGACCAGTCCCTGGAGAAGGACGCTGTGCTTGGTGAATCGGAGGGGCAGCGAGAGAGAGGGAGGTCCTCAAGGAGATGGTGGACACGGTGGCTGCACCAATGGGCACGGGGACGATTGTGAGGCTGGCGCCGGACTGGATGGCATTTCCTTCTGTTGTGCACGGGGTCACTGTGGTGGGACCGACTGGGTGGCACCTGAGGACACCAGCACACAATGCTGTGCCCAGTCTCTGGCTGACGGGGGGGAGGGCAGGCTGGAGAGCAGACATCCGCAAGGGGATCGCATTTATTGAGCGCCGACTGCATACCCCCACCCTGGGTGGTTAGGGGTGTCCCCTCCGGGCTCAGATCCCAGCATGTTTGCCTGCTGTGTAACTTCGGGTCACCAGCTTGACCCCGCTGAGCCTCGGCTTCCTCATCTGCAAAACGAGTTTCCGAAGAGGCTCCCATCGTCGCGTGGGAGGGTTAGACGGAGCAGCGTTTGGAAGCGGTCGGCGGGGCAGTGGGGGTAGAGCCCGCCTCCATGACCTATCTTGGGGAAGTGAAGGTGGTGATGGTGGTGGGGAGACTGGGGCGGGCCCCAGGGGGCTTCCAAAGACACATGTTGGACACGGGGTGTGTATGATTCTGAATCAGCAGCCAGGAGGTCTCAACAGACAACCCAGACGGGGTCCGTCTTCCACAGGCATGATGCGAGGCGCCCATCTGCGCGGGGCAGGGGTGGAGGCACCGTGAGTGTCTGCGCATGGGCGGACAGGGGTGGGGGCACCGTGAGTGTCTGCGCATGGGCGGACAGGCGCTGTGCACCGTGGACTCTGTTCATAAGCGCAGGCCTGCTCACAAAGACGCTCTCTGCCTTGTTCTGGCTAAAGCAGCAGCCCCCCCACTCCAAGAACAGAGTTGCCGATCAGAATCTAGACGGGGGTGGGGGTGGGGGTGGGGTGGGTGCTCCCCGGCAAGGGGCGGGGTTTGAGTCCACCCAGAGGCACCTCAAGAAAGGCCTGGCTTCTGCTTCTGGACCCTCAGCCCGACGGCCCTGCCACGCGGGGGTCTCTGCGGGAGAAGAATGGGGCTCGGATGGGGGTCTGGGAACAACTCCGGACTGCAATCACGGATCATCTCAGCCGTGTGCTCCCCACTGGGGTGGGGGGTGTCCCGGTGACACCTGTCTGTCATGCTGGCGGCCTCTGCTCGGTCCTGCCTGGACCCTGAGTGAGCAGGTTTCATGTCCTCATCGGGGGACATGAAGGTGCAAACACAGACTTCCAGTCGAACCCGGTTTCACTAAAGGCCTGTGGACCCCACCAGCCCACTGAAGACTGGTATTCAAACTTGAATCACGGATTCCGTCGATGCAGGGGCAGGGTGGGAGGCTGGGTCTTGGGGAGATGGCAGGCTGGAGGGGGTGGTCTGCTTTAAGCCACAGGGATGGTGACAGGCCACAGCTAAGTGTCACCGAGCTGACAATGAGGATGTGAGCCAGGCGCTCCATCCAAGTCATGCCCCAAGGTCCCCCAAATCTCACTTGCTCAAGTTCTGCCTGCTTTTCCTGGGGGCTTTGCTGCCGGAATCCCCAGCCCGCTTGTGGGCATCGCGCCAGCCCCCCACCCAACCCCTCTCCAGGGGCTTTTCTGCAGAACCTCCTGCCAGACCTGGCCTTGGCATGGGTCTTCACAACCAGCCCAGCCTGCTGCAGCCACCGCTGCCACCATGGAGCCCACCCGCCTCTCAGCGACCCTGCAGGGCAGCCCCAAGGGCATTCAGGCCTGGGTGTCCTTCCAGAAGCCGACCCCCTCATCTTCTGTCCGCAGTGGGCTGGTGCGTTCCGACAGCCAACTTTGAAGTTAGCCGACTAGTGCCCACACCCGCGGGGCACGAAGGCCGCCCGCTCCCGTGAGACCTGTCACAGGCTTTTAGAATCCGTATGCCGCCACCAGATGGCGGCCAAGGAAAAGGGTAGAAAAAGCCCTCCTTTCTGAACAGAGGTGTGAGCTGTGAGCAGGGGCGCCCCATTCCCGAGGACCCCTGCACTCTCCACTGCCGGACACCCCCCACCCCCAATTGTTGCAGCCAGGCAGTGCCCGGACCTTCCTATCCCCCAACCCCAACCCCAACTCACGGCATGGAGTCATGCCGACTCCTGGCGACCCTACAAGACAGGGTGGAATGGCCTGGTGGGTTTGAGACTGTGAGTTTACGGGAGGAGAAAGGCCCGTCTTCCTCCCGGGGAGCAGTTGGAACGCACCACGTCCCAGGACTGGTAATAACCCCCCCTCCCCACACGGCCCCAGCAGCCTGGCCCGCAAAGCCTCCTTCATGGCTTTGCGTCCCGGTCACCTGCAGCTGGGCTGGAGATCCGCAGGCCCTCCGGCACCCCCTTCCCAGCGCTGGTCACCCCTTGTCCTAAGAGCCCTGAGCTGAGGACCGTCTGGGAGACGTCTGGGTGACCACACTTGGCAGCCCAGGCCGGGCAGCACCTTGCCAGAATCCCATGTGTATGTGTGTGGGTGGTGGGTGGCGGGTGGGGGTGCTCAGGCTTCTGCTCCGACTCCACCCGGAGTTTGGGGTTCAGGACTCAGACTCGAGGACCTTTCAGGCGGCTTCCTGTTTCCACACATGGGGAGGACAGACTAGGAGCCAGAAGAGGGGGTTCACTTTTATTGATGTCATCGTGGGGCATCCATGGGGGGACAGGCCAGTGCCCAGGATGGTCCGTGGGCACAGCAGACAGGAAGCAGCTTTCCAGGGCAGATCTGCCCACAGTTTCCCCTCATGACTTGGGGTCCGGCCCCAGAGCCTGCTGGGGTGACCCGGGGGTTCCCCTCGCCTCCACTTTGCTGAGCACGGAGCGGATCCAGTCCACATAGAGGGAGATCCGGGCGAAGAAGTCGGGGTACTGGCGG